AATAAAAAAAGGTGGAGGGGGAGATTTGTAGAGATCTTCCACCTTCTTTCTTGGAAGTTGCGAAGAACATGGGAGAAGATATGGAGATAACTATGAAAGCTTGGATGCAACTTCCTCTTGTCTCCAAACTAGCCTATAAATATAGTGTTCTATTGTTGTTCATATCATCAGTTTAGAAAGTGAGAAAAGTGTGTGTGAAGAGTCAAATACACTTAGTGTAGAAGTGTATTGGTGAGGATTGGTTTTTTGTAATAGTTGAGTGTGAGAGTTTGCTCCTCCTATTGTAGTTCTGTTCTTGATATTGAATAGAAGAATTTTCCAATCCTAACACAAATCCGGTTTTTCATTCCCACACGAACTTATTATCCTTGGTCAACAAGTGTGTGATATTTCCACTAAACCTCAAATCGCTGATGTTCTCACAAAATCACTGGGCCAAAATTTGTTTGAGAAGTTTCATTTCAGGGTGGACGTTGCGGGCATATTAAATCATAAACTAAATATAGATATTACTATATGTTGGTCCAAAATAGGACGCTCGTAGGCTTTTAGGAAAGCTACGTAAGAACACTCAAGCAGGAATTAGGAAAGTACGAATATGGAAAGTAGCTATGAGATTTAGTTGCCAGAAATAGCATATAGAAATTGCCTCCTGTAATCTGAATTACAACCCGCCGTTTATAGGCGTATACAAATCGTAACTGCTACTGATAATAATGACTGATTAATTACAACATTAATACGGAATTAAATACATAATTAATAGCGCATTAATTGCTTGACCGTTACTCTTCCGATTGTGGACTTGGATCTACGGGTCCAAGTTCGGGGGCTTGGGCTGATTAGGTTCTGGGCCTAGTCCCATTACTCCATCACGAGTCCCCCACTCCCTTAGTCGAGTAGTAGACTCGGCTAAGAGGGAGTAGTCCAAGTCAATTGCTCTTCTCCGAGACTACAAGATCCCCGCCCTTGTCCGTGTTGGGGAGATGTCTCATTAAAAACCTTCATTAGGAAAAAACCCAATGGGAAAAAATCATAATGAAGGGAAAAAGAGTACATCTGACACCCCCAAGTTGAAGCAAGAGGTGAGATCCTCATCCTTTATTGCAATGGTCGTCATCTGCGAATAGGGTGGATATAACTGTTTTTCTCGTCGGGCTCAGACTCGCCAGGTTTGTCATTTGCTTCCTTGAAGACGGTAAGACCATCAGTCCTCCACTTCATTCAGTTGTACCTACACATAAAAGAAACTAGTGTAGAATATATAGAGCATCTGGCCTGGTGTCGAACCACGGCTCAGTGTGTAAGTGAGTCGGTCTCACTACTTGAAAAGAGTGACATCAAGTTCCCAAGTTAGGCCTCAACTCAGTCTCCGAAAGAAAGATTGAATCCACGAGTAAGTGAGGCGGACTCCTCACTCGAACGGATAATCCAACCCAAAGAACCAAAGTATATCAACCTTTTCGAGAAATGTGAATGTCAATTAAGTGACAAAATTGCTCGGAGAAGCGTGGCTCTAGGCTCTTAACAAGAGTTTAACTCGCCGCCCGAGGTTAGTAGTTCGAACCCGCAAGTAAAGACTTTTGAACGGATGACTCGTCCCCCGAGGTCGGAGTGTGATGCACTAAGAAGTGGTAAGAGCACGCAAGAACTCGTATGAAGTCAAGGGTGTGCGGTATTAACATTTATATTGGAACTTATTAATCGTCACACTCATATGACGTGACCCGGTGGCGCGAATGTGTGTGCTCGGCCAGTGTAAGAGTGTGTGTGCTCGCCCGGTGTACGTGAGTGATCGGATTTCATAAGCCCGTTTTTCAATGTTAAAATTACACACGCTTAACAAGAGTAAAAGCAATTAAACTACTTAAAATATCTTTTCAAATGTTTGAATTTATGATTTTTTTTTGTATCAAATATAGAGGATTTTTGGAAACTTAGCTTTAGAACCAAACAGGCCCGAATGCGTTGCTGAAAATTCAGCCCGTCATCCTTGAGGAGAATCAACTTTGGTCTTACTGTAATATTGGTCCATCCACTTTAACGCATAGCAAACTCTTGCTCCATAGGAATTAGGTGGGCGCACATTTGAAGGCGTATCTCATGAATAGGCGTGGCGATGAGGGAGACCAGCAGCGACGTCGGCGCACAGCATCCAGCTGTGATTGGCGAAGAGTACAGGAGGAAGTGGAACTGTAGCACCTTGGATTGGGATGAATTTCTTGATTTATTTCCTACTAAAGTGATGTGAGAGATCAATAGAGGCTCTCAATGAAAGCACCAATGTTGGTCCAAAATAGGACGCTCGTAGGCTTTTAGGAAAGCTACGTAAGAACACTCAAGCAGGAATTAGGAAAGTACGAATATGGAAAGTAGCTATGAGATTTAGTTGCCAGAAATAGCATATAGAAATTGCCTCATCTAATCTGAATTACAACCCGCCTTTTATAGGCGTATACAAATCGTAACTGCTACCGATAATAATGACTAATTAATTACAACATTAATACGGAATTAAATACATAATTAATAGCGCATTAATTGTTTGACCGTTACTCTTCTGATTGTGGACTTGGATCCACGGGTCCAAGTTCGGGGGCTTGAGCTGATTAGGTTCTGGATCTAGTCTCATTACTCCATCACTATATATGTATATCTTGTAATTATCATATCGTAGTTTAAATATAGATACATTCCTTTATCCCCGTTCTAAGGGTAATCATTTTTTTGAACGATTCAAGGGTAATCATGCGTATATATGATACCATAAATACGTACGACTCAATTTCAATTAATGAGATTTAATTCTTCTCTTTATGACATCAGAGTCAATTAAGTTGCTCACATGATAACCCTCAAGGACTCAATTAACAATGTGCACAAACTTAATTAGTCTGCTCCAATCTTATGGTGGTGTATTAAGTTATCCCACGACGATCGCATATAAAATACGTAGTACAAAGTAACATATAAAGTGCGTGTTTTGCTCTTTTTCTCCAATAAAGGTTGAATATGGAACTCTAAATCTTAATAATGTACATTCACTAATTTTATTTAAGCGCCACTGAAATATCCATCCCATGAAGAAAACAAGAAAAACTCTAATATTACTGCTAGAAAAGTGATGGACAAAAATATGACCGAATAACTATTAGTGACTATAATTGTGTTCAAAATTAAATGATAATGACCGCATGAAGTCACCACAATATAACGTTAAACACAATTTTTCTTTCCATTATGTATAATAATATTTTAATAATATATTACTCTACTGGCATGGCAGGAAGGGCCTGAAGACATTGAGTTGGAAAAAACTGGGGTTGTCTACATTATCGCTATGCGGTGTTGCATTGTTGGGGTATATATGTACCTTACTTATATTTCTTAAAGCTTTATCATCTATCAATTTTCAAGTTAATGATCATAAACTACTTTGGACAATAATTTTCATATCATTTTAATTATATTATAAGTAATTTTCTATAAAATATATCCTTTGTCAAAGATTTATCTAATTGATGAAAAAATTCAAAGAACAAAACTTTAAAAGATGGAGTATCTTTTTTCTCCAATATGAGCATGCGGGCTTTTCTTTTTCTTATTTAGTTCCGTTTGGCAGGATAAGTGCGGCTATGGGATTCTTTTATTATGGTCTTCGAGATACAACAGCGACGTATGCTACCAACTTTGTCACCATCATACCAGTAGTTACCTTCTTCTTGTCAACAATTTCTTGGTATGTATTGTTTGGCGTATATATTATTATGTATATTCCGGTCTACAGCAACTTCGATCAATCCAATAATAAAAGTAATTCCAACTCACTTATTTTAATTGTTAAACAATTCAGCGTGCGAAATCAGAAGTTACGTATTTTGTAAAAAACGTTAGCCAATAAAATTAATAAGCGGAAAAAATAGGATCATCAAACTGGCTCATAGTTTATGTCAACATTCCAGCCAAGAGAAGCTGAGTTTGAAGAGAAAAGATGGAATAATAAAAGCATTAGGAGCTATTCTTTGCCTCGCCGGAGCAGTAACCATTATCGTATACAAAGGCAAAACGATTTACCACTCCAATTCCAGTGCCAATGATAAACTTGTTTCTTCTGAAGGGAAAGAGCACTGGGGGCGTGGTACTTTATTTCTTATCCTCAGCTCTCTATGTTACGGCGCATGGTTTATTGCACAGGTATTTTTTAATCTATTATTAGGTATATTATATACGATGTCTCGTAAAATTTGACCAAAGTTTGATTTGCCTTTGAAATAATAAATTAAAACTAAAGCTTTTTGATTGGAAGCAGAAAATTAAGTAATTGTAACTAAATATGGAGTATGGTACTTAATATTTTAATTAAAATGATAACGTTTTGAGATAAATAAAAAGACAAAATTAACAAAATTCAGTTAGACAGAGAGATCATAATACTAACTGCATTTAAAAAATAAATGCATTGCCTTACTTTTCTTATTTATTAAAGATGTCACAGAATAAAGTTCGCACTTTCAGGAAATGAAACATTTTAATTAATAGCTAAATGCCACTTTTGCCCTTGGTTTTTCATGGTGCAAATCTACAGCAACGTCTACATTTATTTTCACCACTCGAACAGCTGGTCGGCCGGACCCATTTACAAACACACAACAGTCTTCCTCTCCTAAAGCCTCAAATAATTCTTTCACCAAATCAATGAAATCTGCTGAAAATAAACCCCAAAAGCTGCCACGTCTCTTTGACTTTGCTCCACTCCTAAAACAAATGAATTCATTTTCCTTAGCACCCTGCTCTACTCCACTACAGAAAATTTATGTTTATTTTCTTTCAAAATACAATTAACATTCTAAACTTCCATTGTAAAATAAATAATGTTACCCTCACTCTTTATAATTGCAGCGTTTTTAATTTGTTATTTTAAATTATGCAACTAACACCATAAATTTAAATTTTTGAAAGAAGTAATACATGATCATGGTAATATAATAACTTTTTATATAAATTTTGGGGTATTTAAATTACATATGAAAGTTTGGTTTGTTTATTTCACGCCCTTCAAGATTTGGGTATTTTTAATTATTTTGCCTTGTATTGTACAAACTTGAATAATTTATGTGTAAGATCAAATGGTCCACGGAAACCGGCATTTAAAAACATGTATCGATCTTGTTTTATTTAAAGTTGTATTGCCCTTTTTTATTTAAACCCCAATTTATCACTTCTGCCATTTCTCCCTCTGCCCCCTTCATCGCTGCTCGGCCCCCTTCATCATTGCTATCTCCTGATCCGACTACAATGCATCGTAGTAGTTCCGCACATCCCTTCCTTCCATGGAGTGCAGCTCCGCCATCGGTTATGGCTTCGCACCGCAGCTCCGCTGTCGACCATAGGTATTTTCTTCTTCTTCTTCTTCTTCATCTTCTTCTTCTGCTTCTTCTTCTTCTTCTTCTTCTTCTTCTGCTTCTTCTTCTTCTGGTTCTTCTTTCTTCTTCTTCTTCTTCTTCTTCTTCTTCTTCTGCTTCTTCTTCTTCTTCTTCTTCTGCTTCTTCTTCTTCTTCTTCTTCTGCTTCTTCTTCTTCTTCTGCTTCTTCTTCTTCTTCTTCTTCTGCTTCTTCTCCTCCTCCTCCTCCTCCTCCTCCTCCTCTAATCATCTTCAAATTTTTGGTCCTATGTTCTCTTCTTCTTTGGATATTTTGGATTTGAATTTTATTTATTAATTTGGATTTTTTTTATTTGAATTTTATTTATTCAGGAAAATGACACTTTTATAATCTTAAAATGTCAAAATTATTGGTTATTTGAAAAAAATGTCACGTTTGTGGCAGTACATTTACCAGGATGGCAATCTGAAAATGTCATTTTTGTTTCGAAAATGTCATGAAAATGACAATTTTCCTTTTTGGAAATGCCATTTTCTTCTTTGAAACTGTCACCTTAGCAAAAGTGTCACTTTATAATCATTTTCTTCTTTTAATTTGTAATGTCATAAATTGACATTATTACAAATCAGTGTTTAAAAGATCGAAGAAAAAATTTATTATTTACCCGTAATGCACATCTAGTTTTTTTATATAATCATGCTTGCACTACAAAAACACAGGGTTTTTGTCATAAATTTTTGTCACGTAATGACATATATCTCAACACCAACAAACATTTTAGTTCGATCTGAAAAACAACCCCTTATCTATAATTGATGCTGCAAGTCTAATCAACTTTGTTTATGATATTTCTATTGCAAAGGCCAGGGTGCTGAAGGCGTTCCCATACAGATATTTTTCAACCACATTATCATGCATAATGGCAACACTTCAATGTATGGTGATAGGGTTATGCATTGATAGAAGAATGACCTCGTGGAAACTGGGATGGAATTTGCAACTAATTACTATTTTCTATTCAGTAAGTGAATATTTTCTTATTCATTTGCAGCTTGGGAAATTTAGTAGAATACGAGTAAAAATAATGTGAAATCATAAAATGGAAGTACTATGCCTTTTCTGCCTATATCACCTAAATAAAGTTTCTCTGTTAAATACGATAGTATTAGTGAATTACTATGGGAAAACTATCAAATAGGTCCTCGAACTTTCATAAAAAAGTCAATTGAGTCCTTTTATAGGAGACTCTGTCCGGTCGTCGCGATTTGAGGCGGTTCCCGGTTGAACTTTTTGATGAAATTTTTTGAGCATCTTATTCATTAAGTGTAGTTTACTCATACCAAATTTCAGCTAAAAAATTAATCGGGAGCGCATTCAAATTAATTCGGGAACACAAAAATGCGCAGTTATCTACAAGAATTAATTTGAATGTGTTCCCGATTGAATTTTTAGCTGAAATTTGGTATGAGTAAACTAGACTTGATGAATAAGATGCTCAAAAAATATCATAAAAAAATTCCACCGGGAACTGCCCCAAATCACGATGGCCGGACAGAACCTCCTATAGAAGGACTTAATTGACCTTTTTATGAAAGTTCGAGGACCTATTTGACAGTTTTCCCGAATTACTATCATTTTTAAATCATACGGTCATGTTTTTTAAGCATGTGACTATATAATAACTGCATTACCTGGCATTACATGTCCATAATAATGTGACAACTAATCTCATTTTTCAAGGATGTGTTTAATTACTCATACTTAAATCTTAAAAGAATACGGTGCATATGTGGCGAAAGAAATAGACACACGAAAAATATATCATTCACATTTCTCTCTTTCTTTTCACGGTTTTTTATAATTTTGGTAACTGTTTCACAACAATGTCAAACGTAAATGTATATCTAGACATTCGTCTTGACATTACGGAGAAAACCTAATCAAAAACATGTAAGATCTTTCAAATAAGAAGAGAAATATATTGTGTCTTAATTTTTATGTGTTTCTCTCATATCACATATGTATATGTCTGTATATAGTAGATTCGTAGTATCCTAGATGTTGGAATATTGTAGTACATGTTCTAAGTATTCTTATTTTGGAATATCACACTTTTACCTATTTATGGTAATTTCCGATGCTGCTTTTATCTATCATTTTCAGGGTGCATTGGCTACAGCAGCAACATTTTGCCTAATGTGTTGGGCAATGCCTAAAATGGGACCCACTTACCCGTCAATGTTCAATCCATTGTCGTTAATATTGGTAGCCATGATAGAAGCTTTTTTCTTCCGTGCACCTGTCTACCTTGGAAGGTTAAATAGTAAAATGCCAGTTTTAGTTTCATTTTCTATTTATCCTGAATGTTGGAGAGTTTCCTCTATGTCAACTATATATAAAGAAATAATGACATATATAATATATTCGAGTAAAACAAAAATGGTGGATACAAACGCTGCAATTATTGTATATAATTTGACCAATCAATAATTGTAATTTTTAGCGATATGATTATGTCTAATTTTGCATTGTACTCATGAAATTAAGCATATAATAGCTTCAATTAGATTGTTTCCATATTCATTTGATTTTATAAGAGCATCTCTAATGCTATAATGTGCACGGTTCACATGTATCATAAGAGATAAACACATAAATATTAAGGAATAAATTATTTATCTCCTTATTTGATTGATTTTATACAATTTTGGTAAGTTTTTCTCAGCAATGTAAACCACAATGTGAACATCTAGAAGGTCTTATTGACATTGTGGATAAAAACTTACCAAAATTGTATAAAATCATTCAAATAAGGAGAGAGATAATTAATTTATTTGCTAATATTTATGTGGATGTCTCACATGTCACATGTGCATCGTGCATATTATAGCATCGAAGATGCTCTAATAGTTTCAATTAAGATGTACGTGCTTTAAGTTCTACAGAGATCCAATAACCTTCCAATTTCCTAGTCATAAAATGGACGGTGTTGGCCGTGATGTGTGTAGGACTAACAACTAACTGTGGCAGAAATTTAAAAAACCAGAAATAAGATATTGATTTACTTTGTTTTTAGGCTGATTATTATGCCAATAATATATACTCTTAAGTATTATTTTCAAATTCAAACAAGTTTTTATACTATATTATAGGAGTATAATATAGTATACTATATTACCCGCACGGGTAGCTCAGTTGGTCGAGCGGTGAGAAAAATTGGACGTAGACCAAGGTTCGAATCCCGCAGTGGCCAAAAGGGGGTTTTCAGAACCTGAAATAAGGCTGGCCCTCTGGTGCGCACGGGTAAAGGCCTACTGCCGCTTTGCCGACCGAGTCACCGTGATTTACTCCCCCACCATCATGTCAGGTCGGGGTGGGGGGACCCTTGGGGTTGAGGATTCAACCTTTTGGACGTATTATAGGAGTATATATACTACCTTAGTGTGACAATTTTCGTCCCATTTCAGTTTTAGGTAGGAATTCCAAAAAAAATCTTCTCATTTCAATTGAGAAATGATTTGTGTGGCTGATATAGTTTCTTTAGATTTTCTAGATCAGCTACAAACATTCAATTCATTTACGTTTTCTTAGTGAAGCCTGTCAAATAAAAATGGGTAGAGGGTTTAAGATAGAGTATTTATTAAGATTTGATGGGGAAGTAATTCATGATCTTATATTTATAGTGTGAGAGTGATATTATATCATGTCTTATTTAACAAAATGGTGTTAAAGGGACTGCCCTCATATATTCCAAACAAATCAGACTTGCTTTGATATGATACTCCGTTCTATATTAAGGTTTTAATTAATAGTATTAATTACATATTGATAAACATTTCATTGCAGCTTGATTGGGATGGTGCTAATCATAGTTGGAGTGTATTCTTTCCTATGTGGTAAAAGGGTGAATAAAAGTTCAAATCCGGCAACAACCATTCATCCTGTAGTTCATTCCGGGGACGGATCCAGGATTTCACCATAAGAGGCTAGGGGCCAAAGAAGATACAGAAAGACTTTAAGGCTTGTATTATTTCTTTTATACTACATTCAGACCGGTCAGCCATGATGACAAGCGTCTAGGATGACTTCCTCCTGTTCTACATCCAGATCCGGCCATTCCTTGTGGAACCCTAAGAGGGGTGAATTAGTTGCATTCCTAAACGTTTTTATAGTGTTTTTAAAAACTTCTCGAGTATCAGTGTGGAATTTGTGATGTGTGTGGTATAATTCTGCATGCAAAAGAAATAGTGATGGAAAAACGTAAACTTACTTGAAACCGAGCAAAACGTAAGCGTTGTATCCTTCACACTTTTTTAATTTGCCCAACACACGTAGTGAACGCCTCCCAGAATAGAGCGATTCTTCATTCGAATGTGGAGTGAATATGGAGGAATTAAGATGCATCGAAGCAAGAGTGAATATGTATGAATTGTTCGTTGATTTTGGAATGTCCCAAAATAGTAGACCGGATGGATGAATATGGGCATCTAACCAAGCATTCCAGCTCAGCTGGTTGTGAGGTTACCGTGTCTAGTTGGAGGTCTCGAGTTCGAAACACGTTAGGCACATAAGGGATTGAAACTCAATGGAGTGAGTTTTAGCCCTGATTACTCCCGGCCCCCAGCCCCCCCCCCCCCCCCCCACTAACCCCCCTGGAGTAAAAAAAATGGATGGGCATCTCTAGAGCTCTGCCCAGAAGTCTCTAACCGAAAAGACATCTTTTAAAAAGAAAGGTCATAACCTTTCTGAAAATAAACATGTAGCAAAAAAGTTAATCTCTAACCTTTAATCAAGCATGCGTCCTGTTGAACACCCCGAATTGACCGTTCAAAGACCCGAACACGAACCCGATCAGACACCGGTGACGCGCGTGTGTGAAGAGTTAATTCCACGCTCACCGTATACGAACTTCACCACTCAACAAAACTTCAGTGCCCCAAGGGTCCAACCTAATAGCTAAGGAAAACTTGTAAAAAAGGCACTTCCTCAACTCTTCATTTTCAGTGTGGCACAAAGTCTCTTCCGAAACTGCTTTTTAGTGAAGTTCGAGGAGCGATTTCTCATTCATTTCTAAATTATTTTGCATACATCAATATATATGATTGTGTTCACCTTTCAGAGTACTATAAATTAGGAATTGGTCCTACAGTCCTACCACAAACTAGTTGTGGATCCCTTATTTATTTTAAGCTCAAAGGTGATCATTATATTAAAATAAAATCATTTTTCAACAGAATTGATTAGACAACCTCACTTATCAACAAATTGATAAAGGATCATTATATTTTGGGCATTACTTAAAGGATCAACTAGTTTTGTTTGATATATTAATTATTAATTACTTGAATTGATCGACGAATACGCTTGTTAATTGTTCGGTTCTTTCACGGTAGTAAACTTGGATTATTAATGCATGCATCTCATGGTTAATAATCTAAGGGAAATTAATTATATTTATTAAACCAATAAACGGCTTGTGTTGAGGTTATCAATCTCTATCGATTTCATCTTAAGTTTTATTGCTACTATCGGGTCAATATACGGCGCGTGTTCTATATTGACTTGATAGTAAGTTTTATTAATGAACACGTCTCGTTATTAATAACTACCCTCGATGAGTTAGAGATGCTCCAAGATCGAGTGTTCGAGAGGAAGATAGTTAAAGATATATCTGGGATCATCGAACATTTCATTAAGTGGATATAAGCAAAAGCAAGTCCTCATCTCTAATTAATTAAACCACATAAGTCATTCATCTTAGTGTTTAAATATTCTTAAAGTTCAAAGAACAATCTAACCCCCCCCCCCCCCTTTTGTTACTAGTTACATAAAAGAAAAGTATTTCTTTCCCTGTGGATACGAACCTTACTTCATTATACTACGTATAATTGTTGTATTGATTATTATTTTGAGGCACACTACGACAAAGTGCTCGTCAAGGAGCTGGCAGAAACCATGCGACGCATGGCGGACGAACAGGATGCTGAACGGACTGTGTACTCGGCGGAAACCGAGCGTACACCTCCCTCCCCCAATCCGGAGAATGGACAAACAAAACCATGGGCTCTCATACCTCGGTCTATACGCGGATTGGCGGGACCCCTCATTCCCAGGACATGGGAGGCCACGGAGGGGCTGGGGCACCCATATGAGGGCAGCAATATGCGGCTCGGGACCGCACCCTGATGATGTCACGCAACAATCACCGGGCCAGGGAACCTGTTAGTATATATGTCCTAGCGACAATCACTTTTTAGAGATATATGTACTTGATCACATTCAGTTTTATATATTTGATATATACGGTATTACACATTGATGATTAAGTATTTCGATTGTCAATATCTTATTCATAATTGTGTTCCCTTGGACTTATGTTGTCAATAAGTAAGTGAGAGCTTATATGATATAACCTAAGGTCCTAAAATAGTCTCAATCAATGATCATCAAGAATGGGATATTGATGATATGCGATAAGATTGGTATGTGGACTGCATCATACTTTTAGAAAGTATAGTTGATCTCACAACTATGAGTTCCTGTAATTCATGATGTATTTCACATAGATATTTTAGAGAATATTGGCATACCCACCGAGAAACCATTTGATAAGTTCTATTCATGTGTCTATGGGATTATCGGCGTATAGAGTAGTGTAATAGTCCTTCGACTTGAGGTCAATACGTACTACATGTGCGGAGTGATGTACTTTGACCATGACCAACGCTTGCACTCCAATCGGGGTAGATACGACATGTGTTGGGTGCATCACGAAGCACATGGAGTAGTAGTTAAGCCAAGAAAGGATTCATTCCTCGTAATAGATTAAGAGAGAACATTCTACTTCTCATATCTAAATGGATCATAAACTCATTGGCCAATGCAAAGATATATTCGTTTTGGATATCGAATATGATCGTTATGGATCATCTAGAAGGATTGAGAGACAGAAACCAAGTTATTGGAATAGACATAATATCATGTTCTAGACTTAGTTAAATGTTCGTTGAATGAAAGGACCGTATCACTATGAGCTCTATATTACAGGGAGTTTGAATAGTCCTCACAAACGTCCTTATATATTAAGTTTGTCTGGTAAATCATTTAGGAATTCTACTAAGACCTTAATTTGATTAGTGCTTAATATATAAGGTCTTATGGGTCACACAACAAGTGATTATATCTCCCGATTGAATTGTTAGAAGGAATTAAATATTATTAATTGGATTAAATAATATTTAATTAGTAATACTGAAAATGGATAAAATATTAATTAGATTAATATATTTCATTCATTGTGTTGAAGGAAAGTTCTATTTGATAGAATTAATTAAGTGTGATAAATTAGATTTATTGTACTTAATTAAGATGTATTTTTAATTAAATAAAGTTGGTATTTTTCTTTATGATTTGGAATCTAAAGGAAAAGGAAATAAAATAAATAATAATATGTATAACAAGTAGAGAGTGGTTGCACGCCACTTCTCTATTGTTGTTGTTATTATTATTTTATTTTATTTTATATACTTATTTAATTAATAATGAAGTATTGGTCCTAGTAGAACTAGAACTCATTAATGAGCAAGACTTTCATTGTGATTGGGAAACTAGTTTAGAACTATTACAAATACATCCTCCTCATTCATAATTCATAGACCGGTTTTCAAATTCAGTATTATCAATTTATTTCCTTGTGAAGAGATTTCCTAGCCTTTCTCTTAAGGAGATCTAACCGTTCTTTCAGAAAGGAGAAATCACGTGGATACCAAAGGAGAAATCACGTGGATACCAAAGGTCAAGGATTATCACCGAAAGGAGAAATCATGTGGATAACCGTTATTTCTAACTCAGATCTGTTATTATTGCTATATTCGTTGTTTTGTCATAATCAGGGAAGATCTGTTTGGGAAAATTTTAAACTTCCGTTGTTGTACTTTCGAGGTACGTTATATCAATTTTCTAACAGAATCCACTCCCACAGTAAGCAATGTGGGACCGGATTTCCAATACGTAGAGGGGCATGGCGCCCGTTTCATCCGAAGGCAGCCCGGCATGGATGCTGTCTGCGCGGATGCTGCATAGGCAACTGTCAATCCTATGGCCCCTGCCACCATGGCGCGGGATGAGATGCTCGCTGGTATGCAAAGGCAGATCGACGAGCTGAATCGTCGTACGGAGAATAGTTGGTGATGAGATGCTTCACTAGAACAAGAATGGGGTTTCCTTTTCTCATGTTTGGCGAGAAGGGAATTGTGTCACACATTACTTAGCGGACCGGGCTGCGGCCCAATAGCGGATTTACATGTGGACTAAAGAATTGCCAATTTTAGCTAAAAAGGCTTATTTTATAGATTTTATTAATTATTCTATATTAATTGGTTTAGGCCTATCCCCCGATTTTCTCGTTTATTAGTTTTACACTTATTTACCCCGTTTTCTTGTATTTTGGAGAAGTATGCCTTTTGGGAGAAGTCTTGGTCTAATCTTACTCTCTTAATGTACATTTTTATATATGTATGGTTAATGGTGTTTATAATTAACACATTGTGGAGACTAAGAATCGCTGTTTTTACCACTGTTCAATTTAATTTTTCACTAATATTTCAATCAGTACTTTCGGGACCCTGTATGCATGTTATAGTACATATGGATATATCTTCCAAGAGAAAGATGGAAACTGATATGTAGTGTAGTACACGAGATGGTCGACCATGAAGAAGAGCCAATTTGTTTTTTTTAAGAAAAAATGATCAACTTATATAGGAACAATTTCAGTATAGTTGGACAAAATTACCACTCTTTTAATTTTTTAAATTTTAAAATTGTAAAATAAAAAATTATTGAAACCCTAGCAAAGCAATGTCGCCACCAGAGCCAAATCGCCTGCCGCCATCCCTCGCCAACGCAACCTGCTGCCAACCCTCGTCGGCGCAACCTGTCGCCGCCATCTCCGGCGACTACGCCCCCTGTTGCCGCCCTCGCCGTTTACCATCTACCACCGCATCCTTGTCGACGCACCGTCGCCATCCATCGCCATCTCTTGCCGCTTCCCACACCAGCGTTGTCATCTATGCCATCAATATCTGACCGGCGTCACCATCCACCCAAGCCACCATCCTTTGAGCACCGCCAAAACAATGACAACCCAGGCGGAATAATATGCCATTAACTTGGCAGATTTAGCATTGAGGATTAGATTCACTTCTGCCATGAAGAAGTGTTTCAGATCTGC